ATAGTGGTTAGTAGTTAATAGTGTTATAAACATTTGTTATGGCAGTGATAAGCCTCCATACTTTAAAGTCTTACGTATTGATTGTCAAGCCTGTGTCAATCTATAGTAAATTGTACAGGTATATACACACATGCGTGAACGGAAATCCCTTGGCCAAGTTACTTACAGGTAACTCTTGTTAACACAGTCAGCGAGTGTTCATACCAAATATCATAAAAATGGTAGGTACATCTTGTTTTTACATCTTGATATCGCTCAGGGAATATCACTGATATACGCCAATTGATATATGATATATACAATAGATACCACCGTATATATCATCTACTCACCTACTAATTTACCATCAGTAAGATGAAGAAAAGTTGACTAAGATGATAGGGTGTGGCATGTTTTTTTAATATGATAATCAATTAAATCATGTATATCAAGTTGTTATATTGTATGTCTATGTCATTTTACTTTTATTTAGTAATTTAGTTTGATTTTGGTGATGGTGAGTATTTATAGGTGCTTCTTCAACTGAAGCAAACATAAACGTTGTCCCTAGGTAAATACTTTCCATGTTTGTGGGAGCCGGAGTCTGCGGAGATACTTTGGACTGTTTTGTAATTTATAAAACTCTCATGCTTCTATAGAGTTATACAATGCTCCCTTAAGCTGCAAGCTAGGCGTGGTGCAGACTTATTACTTACTATTGAAAGTAATGGCTAGGGCATGATAAACTTTTGCTTCATTGGAAGACTGATTTGAACTGAATCAATGGGATAGCATTTGTCTTCTGCAAAAATTGATGCACTGACTCTCTCTCAGGCAAATAGCTGTCAGAATAGCTGTAGCCTGTAGTTAAGAGTTTCTCAGACTGATTTAAGCATTGAGTAACCCACTGTCTTGTTGACACATAGCCTATATACATATATTATTAATCAAGTTCAGCTTTGAAATTATAGAATAAAGTTTATTTATTTAACTCTTGCATTTTGAAGATATTTACAGTACAAAACCTATAGCTTGATTTTAGCAAAAAAGGTATTTTTTCAATATTGTCATTCAACATGGCAAACTTCAGGATAACATGCCATTGAAAATATCTATGTGCCACCATGAAAATATATTTCCAGATAGCCATAGCCATGTTAATCATTAAGAAAACGAAGAAAGTAAGATCTGTGTGAGAAATTATTGTAGGAAATCTAACCAATAAAAGAAAAGTTGCCATGTTGACTTGGTGGTTAATGTAAACAAACAGAAACTGGCCTCAGATAAAATATAGGGCAGGTATTGTACACATTGCAGTTTGAGTGGAAATAGCCATAGATGGTCATTTGATAATGATTTTTGTCACATATATTGAGGCCTTTAAAACAAAACTAGGTTTATATTGAGTTATTGAGTGGAAGGTTGAATATTACATATTCTTCAAATTCCTGGAAACCGTCCTGTTCATGATGTTTTTTTGAATGGCTTTTCCATGAGACAACAGGGTTTAATGGCTGAAGCCCACTTTCTCACCATTTTACATTAGAAAATAATTGCCCTTTAGACCCACTCGACAATTGACTGAACCTGGAGCTAAAGATTCTTGGAAAATATATTGGTTGTGTCTGATTACCTTATTTCTGGTTTATATAGCAGATATCTGAAATATTTTAAATCATTGCTCCTACATCTTTCATTCTGCAATTTCTGTCCTATTGGTTGACAAGATCTGGATATTTGGTCTTAGATCATGTTGTCAAAAACAAACCACATTATTTTTTAGTTTTAAGTAGAATCCTATCATATGATGTCATAAAACACATAGTTTAAGTGGAAGTACAAGAATCACAGACGTCATATTCAAAATTAGAATGGTGCAAATCGATGCCATCGGTGACCCCATTTACACTTTTATCTCTAAAGAAATATCTGTTGTTATCAGAGATATATCTATTGTTATCAGAGAAATATCTGTTGCTATCAGAGAAATATATGTTGTACTATCAGAGAAATATCTTTTGTATTATCAGAGATATATCTGTTGCTTTATCAGAGATATTATATCTGGTATTATCAGAGAAATATCTGTTGTATTATTAGAGATATATCAGTTGTATTATCAGAGAAATATCTGTTGTTTTATAAGAGAAATAGCTGTTGTGTTATCAGAGAAATATCTGTTGTTATCAGAGAAATATCTGTTGCTATCAGAGAAATATAATTTGTTTTATCAGAGATAGATCTGTTGTAGTATCGGAGATATATCTGTTGTAATATCAGAGAAATATCTGTTGTGTTGTCAGAGGAATATCTGTTGTATTATCAGAGAAATATATGTTGTATTATCAGAGATATATCAGTTGTATTATCAGGGAAATATCTGTTGTGCTATCAGAGAAATATATGTTGTATTATCAGAGAAATATACGTTGTATTATCAGAGAAATAACTGTTGTTTTATCAGAGATATATCTATTATATTATCAGAGAAATATCTGTTGTATTATCAGAGAAATATCTGTTGTATTATCAGAGAAATATCTGTTGTTATCAGAGAAATATATGTCATGTTATCAGAGAAATATAATTTGGTTTATCAGAGATATATCTGTTGTATTATCAGAGAAACCATGGTGCAGACAGCAGATGTGTAGCATTAATACTTTCATTTCTGAACTTTCTCTCGTTTCAGTCTGCCTTAAATAAAGATAAAAGAGAAGGTAGGTTAAAAGTTAATCTTTTGATAAAGTTCTTGGAGTTATCAGGGAAATTGTAATCTTTTATTTTCAGGGAGATTCCTTTCATGTAATTCTACTCCTCAACAAAGGTTATTACCTATATGTGTATTTTATTCGGTGCTGATGACTTAACACACACAAATAGCATCAGGTGTTCCTGAATCACTTTTGTCGCAATGAATCCAATGAATCGAGAAAGAAAGGCTTGACCAAAAAGATTTAATGAAGAAAATATTGCTTTGCTCATCATTGTTTAAACCATGTCCCCTTATCATAAATAATGCTTTTATATACATTGGTAAATATAATCAAACATTTAACCTTTTTCATGTTAACCTTAATCATAATCATATAATATTGCTTGGCTTGTTTTGAATCATGTGACATTATGAATATTTGATATATCAATTCCTATAACAAGATTTACCTATTGCAGTGCATAAGTTTTTACATGCAGCGATTTGATTGGATTGTAAGCTAGCTAATATAGCCAATTGGAGCCCTCAATTACAAACTCAGCCAGATTCATTCTGTTGAGGGCTCTGATTGGCTGTCATTGTGGAGATGTGTGTAGATGTTTTAAAAGGACCACATGTGGTGGGTATCAAGCAAACTATTGGCTGACTTGGACACTCTTGGTGGATCAAGAGTTGCCAATATCTTTCAGCCCTTCTGAGGGGATTTTCACCACCATTCACTTAAATTGAAATAAAATATAAGCTGTCAAATTAACATACTGGAACTCTGTCTGATGTTTTGATAGTAGATAGTAGAAATCTTGTAAAACATGTGCTTTTTTATTATCTATATTAATATATTATAGTTTCTGGTTGCTAGGCAACATTTTATTTTGATTTAATACAAGTCTTTTAATAATGATTTACTTTTAACTAGATTCAAAAAAAGATTTTATAATAATGCTTCTGATAAATTTTAAAATTCATGGAAACCTGTGTTTGTGGCTGAAAGTTTCGCTGGTAGTAAAATTCGCTTTTAGATAATGCAGGGTTTTTTTGGTGGGTAACAGTTGCTTTGAAGTCTAGCAAGAAAATTAAGTCGTTCTTCTCAGACTAGCTATATTCTCTGACATGAAGAAGATTGCTGAGAAGCTTAACAGAAAATTTAGAGGGAAGGGGGATAATACAATCAATCAAGGATCCTGAAGGGGGTAATAGAAAGAAAAAGTTTGAAAACCCGAGATGTGATGGGATGTTTATTGCAAATTACAAAATCTGTTTTCAGACAACTTTGGTTTAATTTCTCTAAATAATTTAGAAGATAAGATGTGGGATAACTTTTGATGCTTTTGATGATTGGTGATTAACTATAATAAGATAAACAAATTGATTTCACATTTTATTTTTATGATTTAAAACTTAAGACGCTTCCCAACTATCGGTACAAGCCTTAGAACATGAATTAAAATATCTGATACGAACATTTTACTGTCTGTAGAATCTGTTAATGACATGAAATCTAACTTTATGTTGAAATATAGATGTGAAATTTGAAATAATAATTTTTTGTCTAAATTAGGATACAGTATTATGAAGTATATTTTGTTTCATATCATTTCAAACTTTTTGTAAATGAGGATATCAAATATTCTCATCATAAATATACATTTCAAGCTATTAATTACCACTGTGTAATCAATAACATCTTTTTATAATCCACTTATTTTTCTTGATGTTTGCTAGTTTGTAATTCTAACCCACCCATACAGCCTGTAGATCATAGATTTGTATGTTAAATCAACCCAGCATCAATAAAGCAGAACATTTTGAAGTGTTTTCTTGTTTATGCTGAATGAGTCTTTTCATATCAGTAGGAATCTGACAAAAAGTGTCGCGAAAAGTATGTTTTAATAGGACCAGTGAATGCAAGTCTGATACTGGGCCTTAAAAATGAAAGTAGCTCCCTGACATTTTTTTGTAATTTTTGATTAATGTTACATTTTGCAGAATTACAAGAAGCATTCACCATGCATTGTCAAGCTGATAACAAAGTTGCATTAAACCAACTTGGTATGGTGATCAGATCAACAGGATGTAGTCCTACTCAATCAGAATTACATCAAATTATTAAAGATCTAGAAAGTAAAGGTGGGTTGAAATTGTAAATATACAGAGTGCTAACAACCCTGTATTCCCAGTGAAACTGTATTTCATTTACATTTGATTTGAAGATCATATTTATTTTACAACTTATTTGAAGTATTTTAAGGTGGTGATACCATTCTCAGTAGGAACCTGAAATTTGGAACAAAAAACCCTAATATATGCCTTCACATGCAAACTTAAGTGTAGTTTTAATTCCCATATAGCTTTCCTGTCAAAGTTTTTATGCCCTACCCCTCTTAAAAGGACTGGTTTTAGCCTCACCCCATAATTCAAACCTCCAAAACTTCGCTAATTTAGATGTTTAAGGTATAATTTTGGTCTGAAATAAACATAGAACATGCCTTTCATCTATTTCAGTCGGAAAAATAATTCATATTTTAATAGTGTTTTTTTCAAATTTTTGAGAAATCAACTTGAGCTACCACCCTATATATATATGACCCTATTATAAACAATAGATGTGTAAGGTTAGGAAAGATATCAATAAAATAAAGACTTGTAGGGATTAGGTCAAGAGAAAACAGGTTTATCAAGTTGATCAGGAAAAAACTACTGTTAGTTGAATAATACACTGGTATTAGAAATGATTTAATAGTGGTAGAATAATGTGACATATTGAGTTTTAATAAATATACATAATAAGCTTTGTGGACTCTCCAGAGAAAGAGATGTGGAGTTGAGAAACTCAGTGATTAATTGTTCAGTGGCATCAGGTGTTATGGGAATGTGAGAATGTTTTGCTTATGCTATCAACACCAGCATCAGTGAAGCTCAAATTTAATGTTGGACTAAAAGCTAAAAAGAACCTACCAATAGATTACAAAATTACCAATAAACTTTATTGCTTTGGTGGTTGCTATTTGAAATATCAAGGCCTCTGTGTTATATGCCCCCTTCAATGTCTTCTTGCTTTGTTTGAGGGTTGTAAATCATTAAATAAGCTTCCTAATTGTCTTTACAATGGCTCTTCTTTTCAAAATGCCAGGAGTTTTTCCCCTTCTCATTCTGGACTTTTCATATCAATACATAATTTTCAGGTATGCGAAGTTTAGAGTTTAACCAAGTAGTAAATATTGTGGAGAAACACAACTTTGCCAGTGAATCCATGGAAAGTTTAAAAGATGCTTTCAGAATATTTGATAAAGATGGCAATGGTTTTATCAATGCAGCAGAGTTACGTCATGTCTTGTGTAACCTGGGTGAAAAATTAACTGATGAGGAAGTAGATGAGATGATTAGAGAAGCTGATTTAACAGGAGATGGTCAAGTAAACTATGATGGTGGGTATTACAATATTTTAGCAAGCACATGCCTAAAGAGACTGTAAACAGGTTTTTCTAAACTTTGTATGTGTATTCGGGCCATTTATGGCTTCTCTTTGCAGCATTACAACTTTCCCTCAGATCAGATGTCTTTGGTTCCTGTAACTATAGAAGTGCCTAACCTTAAATGAAATCACTATTGCAAAATCATAATTATGCCATCAGAAAATTTGTACTTTCAATGGAATTGCAAGAATAACAAAGGTCTAACTGAAACTGAAACTGGTACAAATCGATGTATCTGATACACATTGAATTTTTAGAACACTTCTTGAAAATCCGTTAAATATACTTTTAGTAATCAGCCTCTGTCAATCTCCAAGAATATGAAAAAATGTTTCATGAAATACATATAATTGCATATAATATAATGTGGCAGGTCCCTTTTAAGTCAATTTCAGCCTAGTTTATGAAATTGAAAAAAGGAAATGTATCCTAATTTGGAATAAGATTTGTGGTATGAGAATTCATTTGAGAGATGGAGACTAGCTCATTCTTCATCCGAAATCTGACTCTTGCCTCTAAATTCAGATATGCTATAATGACAGCTCCACTTAGGGCTTTACTCTGCATCTTCTATGCAGAATGGTGCTCATTTCATGTCTACATGATTTTATCAGCTTATGAACATTTACTTATACATTATGATTTACACATCTATCCTTCTCCTTTGATCCATAATTGTGTAGAACTTCTTATAGAACATATTTAATTATATTGTTTGTATTTTTCAGAGTTTGTAAAGGTATTATTAGGAGGCTATTAAAATCACAGTTATTATTATTATAAGATATATATTATTATTATTGTAAGCTCACTGTATACTAATACATATCATTATTAATTGTTTTAATTTGTACTTTCACTGTAACTTATGAAGTTTTACTTATAGATAAATATGACTTTATGAAAATGTATGTAGATCTACAGCTCTAGATATTTCATGTTTTTTTTTTTTGTGCGTGAAATAATGCGTAAAAAATATAAAAATCTGTCTGTTAGATTTAAGCAAAATGTTTCTTTGAATCCTGGAAGTTAATTTTTTGCATTTCTCTTAAGTAACAGTAGAAATGTTAGTTATTTGTGGCTTAGTGACTATAGAAATCGTTAGTGGCCTTATATTGTTTAGTTAAGTGATGCACACATTAGCTATGCAATTTTAATATTTCTAGCTGGCAAAAAGTAGAAGTATAAATGAATTAACACAATTTCAATTGTGTTCTTCACATATTTAGACTCCTTAAAAATGGCAGTTGTTGATTTATATTCTGGTATAAGTGAAAATAAGAGATACAATGTCATACAAATTAAATTTTTGTTTTTAAGATTTGTATATTAGTTTCTACTGAACTACATAATTTTGTATGAAAGTTTTTTACCATATAAAGCCTTAATGCATTCCTAAAATCCATTCAAAACCATTCCACTCTCTATCCCAAGTAAGGAATCAATTTTTGATAACCATGGTGATGAAACCAAGTTTGTCTCAAATTATTTCTCTGAAATGTTTCAGCCCCATTTACTGTCATAAATATTGAGGTCTAATAATGACATAATGGTCTGTAAACTAGGAATAGCTCTACCAGTTTATATCAGGGACTAGTAGACTTCGAAAAAACTTGAAATCGATATGGAAAAATCAGTCTTCCTGAATAAGATTCATTATCAAGGCTATGTTTTGTTATTGCTTGGGTCAAGTCTCTGATATCAGGCACAAGCTGCCAATCGACTAATACTGTAAACTTTTCTTATCAGCCAAGTGATCACCAAAACTAGAGGATATGAATGGGTTTCCCTTGAAAAATATTGCATTGCACAGGTCTCTGATTAGCATGCTCTTGTTGTGGCTTCTGATTGATACCAAATCCATCTTTATTATTGAGAACAATCCAATGTTGAGTAATGTGTCACATTAATCCACTATGTAATGAAATATTATTAAACATCACTATTTTCTAGTATTTATTTTTGTATTAGATACTGCCGCACTTTCAGATGTGCATGCTGGCTCATTTATCAGTGATGTAGGTCAAAAGATCAGGACATGAAAATGTGTTTGGTTGTTCCCCAAAATGCCTCTACCCTGAAATGAAAAAGTTGTCAAAATTGTAAGGATGTAGATTGTAGAACTTCACTTAATGGGAGCCTCCACAAATAGTCCTATCATAATAAATTTTTATGTGCTTCTGTCAATTCAATCTGGTGAACAAAGAGAAATAATTCAAATCAGACCAAAATAATTTCTTCAGTCAGTTTCTTTGTTTTAGACTTAAAACCATACAGATAGTTTTGCATTTGGCTTTTGGATTAAGATTTTCATGCACTACAGTCACACACACAAAGCTTTTGTCTTTCACATACTTTTTGACTGGGATTTGAACTGTGAAAAATTGCTTGAAATTTTATGCAATCAATTTTTATTAATACTTGTGATAGATAATACAGATTTGGTCTAGTAAACCAAAACTATCAATAGGTGAAAAATCCTGAGATTAAAGTGGCCATGTTTTTTTTTTTAACCTCAAGATTCATAGAAGTTCTTCTTCAGAAATTATTATGAAAGGGCAGCTGGCATAAAATCTGTATTGCAGAGTTACTCCTGTGGTCAAACTCTCAGTAAAGGAAATCCAAGTAACATCTTGAAGGGTTTGTTTTGAGGTTTTCTAGCATTTTCAAGTGTATCAGAGCCATTTATGTCTTCCATTCGCATCAATATTTCTAAGATGTCTATTCCAGTAAATCTGGAAATTCTTTACCATATACGACCTCAGTGTCCCAAAAGCTGCTAACAGTATCTAGGGTCTTTGAAATAGCCTCATCCAAAAACAGTTACTTTTGGTGGAATTGCAAGATCCACAGAAAATTGGAATGGTGCAATTCGATTCTATCCCTCTATGATTAGGTTATTCATACAATACTAAGAACTGGGATTGGTTGACTGATTAGAAAGTGTCCATATCAAAGTTCTTACTGTTGTATTGAAACAATTGTCTTATGCAAGTTTAAAAAAAAAAAAACACTCAGTCTGGACTTACAAGTTGTAAGATATGATTTGATATACCAATCTTGTCACAGTACGGCACAACAATTCCTCAAAAACAGGAGAACTAATTTCAAGTGATCTAATAAGCAAAATAAAGCCCTTAGCATTATCTTATGCAAGTTTTAAAAGCAGGCCCTAACTGTGGCCACCACAAACTATTTCAGTCTGAACAGGATATGACTCCAGATCCCAATTTTGTCACTGCACAGTGAACCTTCAAAAACGAGAAATATGTGAGAAAAAAAATAAAACTCTTTCTGTGACATTTACATTTTATTTCATCTGAAGAGAAGTGATTATGGATGTAAGCAAGTAAACATGTAAAATAATAAACATAAATAAACATCAATCAAATATTGTTGTCATAGAAACCTTTTAATTTTATTATCTTGCCAATCACAGCATCATCTCGTTCAGTTTTTACTTTACTTATCTCCTTATTTTTAATTGTCTTCAATAATTACTTCATTTAAACAATTTGGAAAGGTTCTTTGGAAATTTTTTAGATGGAATTAGTCAAAACTTCTAAAATATCTGTTAATTTGTTCACCAATTTCAAGTTTGCTGCAAGTTTGTTAGTTGCAAATAAGTTTAAAAGCATAAAATCTCAAATACATAGGTAAAAATTTAGAATTAAAATTTCTAAAAGCATTTGCAAGCTTGATTGATGGTTCAGTGGTGGAAAGCAAAGAAATAAAATTATTTAAAATTTGTGTATACTAAATTGCAATACAAGTTACCACCAAATCTAACTAATGATAATCAGTGGATGAGTTTGAATTTCAGTAAATTTCAGTATTTTAGATGTAATTAAATTCAAGTCTCTTTTCAAAAGTGTGTTACCAAATCTGTTCCAAACAATTAAGGGACTAAATTTATAGATTCAAGATATTTGAATCGTGACTGAGGTTTAGGCACCACTTGATTACCACTAGTAGATTGTGTGTAATTACTCAGTACTAGGTGTAATGAAGATCTGAAATCTAGGTTTTTATCACTAATAAATAATGTCGTCTCCAATTATTACGTAATATACATACTAATACAGAGTTATACCTCTTAAAGGATACAATTATAAGAAAAAGTAGAAAAAGTCTGAAACTTTAACCTGTCACCGAAAACTAAAAGCTAAAAAGCCCATTAACGAAAAATTTCCTCCATGCCTTGTAGAAGGCTGTTTGCACCAATTGCTGCGTAAAATGACCCATCATTCATATTTGTCTTGAATGAGAAATTATGGAACACCAATCATGACAAATTTTGTTAGTTTTAAATTGCGTAGCTAACCTTAACAAAACAATCAAACAAATGCGTACATGGAATTGTGTCAAATGCCAGTACATCTGACAATCAAATTTGACATAACTGGTGCTCCATAAATCTTTCCTGAGCAATGCTGTAACAAGCAACACCCACAATCAATGAATTGACCAATAGCTCAAAATCAACCAATCATAAATGTTGCTTTACATCACCTGACAGCCTACTCCAAATAAGGTCAGATCTGGTTAGTATCACATGGTTTTAAAGACTGCTTTCAGAAAATGTTAATTAAATGATTACAGATGTGCCTCAATGTATAATAAACATGGTAATATATACACTTGATTCAAATTTCACTCTCATTGGATACAGAAACGTAGGGCAATATTGAATTGAGTAGCTCATATACTCTCTTTAAACTTTTCAGCATAACCTATTCCCTCCAATTTAGTTAACTTCTACAGCAAGAATTAGATATATACTAAATGTAGTATATTCTCTATCCTACTTATCTTTATTTAACTGATGCTCAAATTCCTTCTATAATAACTCTAACCAGGCATAAAAAATTCAAATATTAATCCAGTTCCATATTGTATTCAGTGAGAGTGAGATTTAAGACATACTTTATGGACATTACATATAACTCAGTTTATGGATTTTCTGGTAGTAGTTCAGACAAACAAAACAGACGACAATACAACAATCGGACACACCCCAAACATCAGACGTTAAACCTTCCAATGATATGTTCCTCCTAGTATTACCATTATTTGCTGTTGCCCGTTTGAAAGATAAGCTACTACTTGAAAAAATTAAAAAATTGGCAGGGAAAATTTAGAAGTGTCAAGTAAAAAATGGTAGCATTTTTACCAAATCAGAGGACTTAAATAGTGATAGACATTAATTTCAAATTAAAAGAAGTGGAATTTTTGCTGTTAAAAATTTGACTCCAAATATTAGGATGGGTAAGATGTATTAAAAACAAAAAGCCTTCGATTCTTATTTAAGAATTAAGAAGGTTGACAGTAAAATTAACAAGAATATTTACAGTTACAGACAAACACCTTCATTGGCACAGATATTTTACAAAGGATGAAAAAAAAAACAAGATTTGAACGACAGGTATACACGAAAGACAGCTACTTTGAGGTCATCATTGTCACAAATTCTGAAAAGAGAAAAAAATGGAATATAAACCTTGTCAAAAGACAAATATCAGAGCAGTAAATATTTTCAACATGAAACCTAATACAAGAGATATAACAGGAATATCCCTCAGAAACGGTACCCAATTTTTTCAAGCACGAATAACTGGACAGAGGTCAGGTCTGAACACAGAAAACTAAGTTATTGAAATGATTCCACCATCTAACCTATTTGTTGGCCTGCAACTCAGGTGATCAATTCTAACAGGTCAACAGCTTATCCCTCATCAAACAAGATATTTTTCAAAATTCCTGGATTCCACGGATAGCTGACCTGACTGCTACATATATACTAACAAAGGTAGCATCAAGGGAAGTAATTAGATTTCAATGACAGGAATATCATTGCTACCTGAAGGCCAAGATGGCAGGATTAGCTAGCAAGTCAATGTGACTCACAACTCACCTTCATAATTTACTTGTCCATCCCCATCTATATCTGCTTCTCTAATCATTTCATCTACTTCTTCATCAGTTAATTTTTCACCTAAATTTGTCATAACATGTCGTAATTCAGCCGCACTGATGAATCCATTGCCGTCTTTATCAAAAACTCTAAATGCTTCTCGAATCTCCTCCTCGCTGTCTGTATCTTTCATTTTACGAGCCATCATTGTTAAGAATTCTGGGAAATCGATAGTACCATTACCTGAAATCATAATTAACGTTTCCGGTAAATAAACCAGTTGACAGGTATTTAATTACTGGTGATTACACAAAGTTAATTAACATTTTTAAGATAAAGAATGTTATGGTCAAAATTTTTGTGAAATTTTATACATAAAAAATCAATCTCTGAAAATATTGACCATAAGATAAGATTAGCATCCACACAAGCTGATTAAATTGAGGCATTGGTGACAATTTGGTGACAAGATCTTAGCATGAGACAGTAAACTGAGAAGATGGCATGTTGTTAGACATAAATCCTAGCCTTTGGAAATGGTTATTATATGAAAATTTCCCTTTTAAACTATCACAGCTGCCTGAACTTAAGTCAAGATGATTGTGAAAAGAGAAAAAAGAAACAGGAAATTTTATGGATATTGCAGAACTTGTCAGCTTTACAAGACATTTTGACAAGATATCAAAATTCATTATCAACTGTAGCAATCTGATTATATTCATGCCTATAACAACCAACTGTGAAGCCAATTTTAAATTTGATTAACTACACACATTTCTCAAAGAATCTGCCAAGCTGAATTCTTATATCTTATAGAATCATATTTACATAGATCACACTTGTTTCGATACTTTGCTATTTTGACATCTCTTCATAATCCAAACCATTAAGCGAAAAAAGTTTTGAAAAGCTTATAAACAAAAATAAGATCCCAAAATTCATTGCCCACAAAAATAATTTCCTCTATACCTTGAGAGTTAAATGTTATATTACAATCGGAAATACCAATTGTTTGGTTATTTAACAGTCATTACCAATATAACCATGGACCTATCAATCTTTACAGTTTGTTATATAGTTATACTGGTAAATAATGGATAGATTTTAAACCATTATTGATAAACTATTAAATCAGTAATATTACGCTAACATTTATTATATTGCACATCATTATTTATATTACATAGCACATCATTATATTATATAATTTAACCGGTGTCTATTTATTTCTAATTAATAACAGATAATCTCTCTCTCTCTCTCTCTCAGTCTCTATTCAACTTTTCACTCCTCATAAAACTCTAGCTCGGTAATCAACATTTTTTATGGCTTGAAATTCTGTGAGAATCTAAATTGAAGCTTCTACTGCGTACAAAATTTCATGGCATTTTTAATGTTCCATTCATTTCAATTTTCTATATTTAGACATGACAAAATTCAGGGGAAGAATCTTTTTTTTTCTTACTACAAAATTTCATTGCAATAACCGAAATAAATTCTTGAACAGTGTATGTAGAACATCTTAAAGAAATGTACATATTACAATGTAATATATGGCCGATTAGTAATGCGTTTCCATTTCCATTTACTTTGATGTATTTGTACTTTGAGTCATGAAGGGAAAATATCAGTTGTTATAAATTGGATATACTACCTATAGCTCAGGGATGGAAGATGTGTAATTTACTAATCAATAAATGAAAGGAAGAAATTATTTGTGAAATGCAAGGTTTTAATCTTAATCCTGCAAGTCTCTAGCATGCAATGAAAGTTCCACATTGATGACAACCTATTCTATATCAGACACTATAAATAACCACCAATCAGAACATCAGATACATTATAAATCAATTAATTATTAAAATAAATAATAAACTTCAACAATATCGTGTATTGTTCACTCTGGCTCGCTTAGATTGATCAATTTTTTATTGCTATGTTTGAATACAATAGCAGTTTCAAGCTACATTGGGTTTGATATTGATAACACAGGAGTATAGAGAAAAGATTAAAATAAAAACTACGTTAATTTATAATTTAGTAGACTAGAGTAGTAATGACCATTCCATACTTATTGACTGGAGAATCAATAATTAGAAAATAATTATCAACTTTCATTACATTAGTGAGTGTTGATACATCTGGTTCAGTGACCAGACCTCAATGACCAGACTGCAGACAGCAAAAACAATACTCCATTTGTTCAGCAACATGTAAAGAGGTTTTTTTTTTTTTAACTTTTAAATGTAGCAGGAACACAAATTGTATTCATATGCAACATTCTAATTTCTAATCAGATGTCTGTGGTTCTTGTACTTCCACTCAAAATAAGTGTTTGATGAATCACTATAGCAGGTCCTTATATATCAATAGCAGCTTTTGCATTAGTTTACTTTTAGTGGAATTGTTAGAAACATAGACGTCCGGTTGAAAAATGGAATGGTGCAAATTGGTGCACATCAGTGTACCCTATACACAAAAATGTTAAAAAAAACTTCCTTTACAATCTCTTTAATGAACCATGGGTAATGAGCAGAAATGATCAGACTCTACAATTCATATTCAATTGGCCTAATTTTTTTTTCAGACAAAATATCAGCAAATTTGGCAAATTTTCTGTGCAGCAAGATGAACAAGGTCAATTTCAAATGTCAAGCAACTCTACGTTATATATACACTTTGCATTAGAACATTGAAGTGCAAAGAAGTTCATGATCACTGAACATAAACTTTCAATGCTTTCATTAGTTTTTCTTTAGGATTATAAATGTTTCACTGAAGTCATTGAAATTAAGTTTTAATGTTGTATATAGATATCAAAGACGTCAATAAAGGCAGTAGGCAGGAAAACTTCAAGGAGATGAAATGCTCTGTTGATCAACTATTTTAAATATGGTTTTAGTATTGACATATTCATAACTGAAGTCAATTAGTCCATTGTAATATTCAGAATAATTCCATAAACCAATATTTAATAGATGATACAAATAAGTGGCATCAGGTATTCACTTAGAGTGAACAAGCTATGTATTATCTACAGTCTAACTAACAGTTATGTACCAAGTAATGTACAAAAACTCAAATTTGGTGCTTTTTAATCACCAATCCTAGTCATTTGGTCAAAAATTCCAGAATTATATGCAGTATGTATAGTATTTTGTGTGATGTACATGCCATAGGAGAGTGTCAATGGCCATATAATCTACTATTTACAGTAAGTCCCTTGAATTCCCCTCAACTTACACTTGTATCAAGTCCCTTGAATTCCCCTCAACTTACACTTGTATCAAGTTCCTTGGATTCCCCTCAAATTACACTTGTATCAAGTCCCTGGGATATCTCTTAACCTAAACACTTGTATCAAGTCCCTTGAATTCCCCTCAACTTACACTTGTATCAAGTTCCTTGGATTCCCCTCAAATTACACTTGTATCAAGTCCCTGGGATATCTCTAACCTAACACTTGTATCAAGTCCCTTGAATTCCCCTCAACTTACACTTGTATCAAGTCCCTTGGATTCCCCTCAACTTACACTTGTATCAAGTTCCTTGGATTCCCCTCAAATTACACTTGTATCAAGTCCCTGGGATATCTCTAACCTAACACTTGTATCAAGTCCCTTGAATTCCCCTTAACTTACACTTGTATCAAGTCCCTTGGATTCCCCTCAACTTACACTTGTATCAAGTCCCTTGAATTCCCCTCAACTTACACTTGTATCAAGTCCCTTGGATTCCCCTCAACTTACACTTGTACCAAGTCCCTGGGATTGCTTTAACCTAACATTCGCATCAAGTCACTTGAATTCCCCTCAACTTACACTTGTATCAAGTCCCTGGGATTGCTCTAACCTAACACTTACATCAAGTCCCTTGGATTCCCCTAACCTAACACTTGTATCAAGTCCCTTGGATTCCCCTAAATTAATACATACCATCAGCATCCACTTCATTGATCATATCTTGTAATTCTGCTTCTGTTGGATTCTGTCCTAAAGATCTCATTACAGTACCTAATTCTTTAGTTGTTATAGTACCATCACCATCTTTATCAAACAGACTGAAAGCCTCTTTAAATTCTGAAAATATATAAAATTTTAAGAGTTGAGCATACAAGGACAATGTGTTTTTTTTTTTAACTTCTAGGTGCTTAAACATTGTGAATATGATAAAACTCCAACATGTTAGAAGAGTGAATGGAATTAAGTTACTACCCCCGCTAACTGATCAATAACAATATATTATATATAACGAAATGATTTGACATAAAAAGGTTTTTACAATGATTGATGCGAGTAGTATATAATATCAGTGAGAATAGTCTACATGTATCTCGAGTCCGGGGCTCCAATATTCTATAAAGAAAATGAAGCACGGTAAAACTACTAGATCAGGTTACTATTCCTGTCGTTATCATTATAAAATAAAATACTATTATTCTATAAAAGTGTCTGAGACAGGCTGATTATAATTATTATTATTCATAATGACCAGTGAATCATTGTCCATTTTTTTTCATTATTAAACATTGGAATGTGGCTGATAGAAAGCCCAATAGAGGCAATATTTCTTTGGCTTTTTTTGTCACAAATATACAAAAGTATAATTGTAAAGTAATTAGTAGCCTGAATATACTAAACTTGATCCAAGGGAAATAACTCAAAATCCCTACCCTTTTGATATCAGTGTGTGGGATTCAGGTTTTAAACAGATTAATGTTAGGAATTGGAAAGAAATGCATCATTCTGCGTGACATTCTTATTTTTAATTATGAGTTTAACCTTTTCAAGCACTAGCGACTGTGACTGAATAAAATCACATATAATGTCAATGTGATAATCAAACTCTAAAACTTTAGAACTCCCACATGTATATATATTTATATAGATAAAATATTATGAACTGAAGTTGAAGTGTTCAAAGTGTTAATAATATAAAGGCAACGAGTTTATTCTGCTTTGAGGTGCTTTACCAATGTGAATATGATAAAACTCCAACATGTTAGAAGAGTGAATGGAATTAAGTTACTACCCCCGCTAACTGATCAATAACAATATATTATATATAACGAAATGATTTGACATAAAAAGGTTTTTACAATGATTGATGCGAGTAGTATATAATATCAGTGAGAATAGTCTACATGTATCTCGAGTCCGGGGCTCCAATATTCTATAAAGAAAATGAAGCACGGTAAAACTACTAGATCAGGTTACTATTCCTGTCGTTATCATTATAAAATAAAATACTATTATTCTATAAAAGTGTCTGAGACAGGCTGATTATAATTATTATTATTCATAATGACCAGTGAATCAATGTCCTTTTTTTTCATTATTAAACATTGGAATGTGGCTGAAGGAATGCTGATTAGCGACAAAACTTTGAAATACATAATACGATATAACCAGCAATAACTTCATAATCAGTCTTATTCCTGGTAGCACCTTCAAACAAACAAATTGACTTCTACAATATCTCAGAACAACTAAAAAAATTTGGGTTTTCTTCATTACATAAATAGTAAATCTCTCAATCTACTGGAGCCATGATAGTTCAGTGAGATGCTAGCTTGCAACCCTAAGGTCCTGGTTTATTCCAGCATAGGTCAAGATAATAACTGAATTTTCCAGCTTTCATTTCATAAATTTTGAATCGATATTCTGGGAACGCTATGGATCAGTGAGTTAAAAGCTTTCTTGTTAGATCTTTATGAAGTTCAGAGCTCACTTGGTTATATGTCAAGATAATTCCTAGGCATTGTTACATTTTTCCATTTGTATCACTGTTTATCAACATAGTTTTTTAATGGAAAAGTTTTCAAAGTATTGATTTCTTCGAAACGTATCAAAGAGAAATTGATAAGTGAACAAGATATATATGATTGTGATAAAGATAATTATTTATAGTGAGATATAACAAGATATCAAAATATATTGAACTTTGCCTTCGTACCAGTTACGTCAAAATATATCTTTCTATTTTTATTTTTTTATGCTCCATATAAAGCCATTTCCCATTATTTTCTGTGCATGCAATGAAATCATCCAATCATTAAATTAATGTAACGTTCTGACATCTGATAAATATGACTGGGGAATACAATATAAATCCATTTTGCTACCCTCATGGTAGGCTCCATCTGTGATTGACAAGTTACAAATGAGAATGTGTTGTATATTCCCAAATCTTTCTCATGAGATGAATAATTTCTAATGTCAGTGCTCTGGAGGTTCTGCCCTTACTCATCATTTAATTCACGAGACATCAACAGGCATGCATCAAAACTCATTCATTAAACCTGATTTACAAAATATTACATCCAGCTATACATATCAAAAAGACAATTTTATGGATAGATACTTCTGGTATATTTATTACTTCAATGTTTCAATGTGGTTCTCACACCGTCATCAGGAATATAATAGTTATATAAATATATAATTATTATATTCCTGATGACGGTGTGAGAACCACATTGAAACGTTGAAGTAATAAATATTCTAGAAGTATCTATCCATAAAATTGTCTTATTTATCTATATCTTGTGCTTCTAATATGCCGTTGAAAGATCAGCTATACATAGGTGATAATTCAGGAGTAGATAAATCCTATGTTTATTGAACCATTCACCTCCACATAAAACATTTTAAAATACAAGCTCATTAGAGATAAAAACATTTTTAAATCAATATGTTGTTCTAAATTGAAATATACAAATTAAATTCAAAACAGAAATTGAACAATTTATAATTGTGTCATAAAATCAATACATTGGTGCAAACCATTAGAAATCAAAATCCAACACAAATAAGCCTCCATAATAAATTCAAAACTTCCAGACAAAGTAGGTCACTGATACCTATGCACATTCACAATCAACAAGAACAGTCTTTTTCTTTTTTTACAGACTACTTTTTAAATCAAACTTAATCTTCTTTTTTTTCATTTTAGTATTTTAAACCCGACAGGAATCCCCCCCTCTATTATTATTTTCCTTTATTTTTTTTAATTTTCCGTATCTGATTGATTTACCTAGAAACAGTTTTGATAATGTTGAGATATGGAAAAATATCACTGACAATTTAGGAATAAATTGTCTGGAATTCAATAAGGTTACAGAATTAGTAACAATATCAAGCAGAATATTAAAAATTTTATGTTATCGATCAATATATGAACATTATCCTTATATCAAGACAAGATCCATGTACTGCAGGGACTTGCTGACATTTCACCATGATTGATAATTGATTCTTGATAGACACTGACTCTACAAACATTATCTGAAGACTTTTTACATTCACCAACTGTTTGTTACAAACATGCTACATATAATATCACACAAAAGACATCTGAGGCAATCTAATGTGTAAGAAGAGTTGACATTTATATTATCGGACAAATTTATTCGCTGTAGAAATTGACAGCAAAGAATAATTGAAAATGATACTTTGGGAGAAAATCAGCAAATTTCCTGAAAATGACTGAAAAGTCAACCAGCAATATCAACAATACTAAGTTATAACTTGAAGTATGAAGATATGAAATGAGTTTACATTCTACTTTGTAGCACCTATTTAGACCTAATGTTGAATGGCAAAACTAAACAGTGTGGAGGAGAAATTGGCATGACATCAAAAATTCTAGTCTTAAGAGCAAACAAACCATCTGAATTGGGTTTCCAAAGCTTCAAGGGCAGGGCCAACTGCACCAACTTAGAGAAAAAAATGAGACATCCTATCTATTTAAGCTATTTCGCACCACCTGTCCAATGAAATATTTACTACAAATAAAAAACTAAGATCACTAACACTTGTTTTTAAGTAATCTGCACAGCACCTTGAAAAATTACTATCTGACCAGTCTGCCTTTTTCAAGTATAAATGAAAGCCCAGGACAAATAAGCCAAATCAATCAATAGAAAATACCTTCAACATTGATACATTTCCTCTATTTTGAGAAATCAATACAGAGAAACAAACCAAATCAAAACAGTTCCATGGCGGAACAGACACAATCCTGATTCTTTATTACTCAATCGATATATTATCTTAATAAATTCATCATTTTATCTCATCAAGAACTATTTCCCGTATTCAACCATTATACAACGTGGTTAATGAAAAGATGACAAAGATGCGCTGTGATATGTTATTTGTGGTGTGATAGAGCTATGTTATCATACAGTGCATGTCTCCCTTGTAGTGTCACTTTAACATAATAGCTATCAAGTGGAAGACCAATATTTGTTTAGAGAAAATATTATTGGTTACCCATAAGATAACCGCCATTAGATCATTGGTTAAACTCAATTTTCTACTTAGACATTCATTGGACTCAGACCACCACTAACTATCTCGTTGTTCCAAACTTTCAGTGAATTTCAATCCAGTAAGGTTTGAATAATGTCATTTCACACCAAATATTGATCAGAAACAACTACATCTTATTTCTTTATCACTTTTACTTGAATAATTTTCATAAATGGCTGCATCAATACGGATCCAATTACCCCATTATCACACGCATGGAAATTATCTTTTCCTATTGACATCATTCTTTCCTGCCATTTTCAGAACATATCTATCTTACAATAACTTACAAGAATTAACCAGGGATAATTCGAGAATATTCCAGACAATAGAGTACTTTTTCCACATCTCATTTTAGAATTTTTGCTCGAGATTCCAAGTAAGAACTCTTTGATTTCCCTAGATACTAGCCAGTGGAAACATCTAGTAACTTCTGTTTGATTTCTCACTTTAAAAGGACACAATCAGCATTTTTGAGGATTGATTTGAGCATAATCATGGATAAATTCAAAGGTAACCTGTGAACAGCTATTCCTAGCCAAAAAAATTTCATTTTGCAGACTAAGGTTTAATTGATTGGACGGTTTGTAAGCGTGTACCTTTTATCTCACAAAATTTGTATTTTGAGAGAGGAAACCTAGACAAGAATTCAACATGAATATCTATACTTGATAGAAGTTGTGCTCTTAAATATAATTTGTATGGATATTAATTCATGTATCTGGAAGAAAATGAGTATGACTTCAAAGAAATGTTAAATTGATCACCACTGTTCTAGACATTCTGAGAAGAGTTATGGTGTCTTTCAAAAGTCTTAAATAAATGTCTTAGATGAATTAATCA